AGCGCGGAGCGGCTCTGCCCGAAACGAGATTCGAACCCCGGAACGTGCGTTTGTCTGTTGTCGTATTCCGCTCATGGTTCAATAGGCTCGTTTGGAGTGGCTTCAGCCCTTTCCGAAGTTCCGGTGGGTGTTGGGCAGTTTGGGCTGAGTTCCCCCCTGTCCATGAGCAACTCAGGCAGCCCTGGGTGGTTTGGATTGGTACCGCTCCTTCCAAACCACCGGGCTCCACATCCACGGCCGGCGACCCGCAGCGTTCTGGCTGACGCGTACATGGGACAGGGCAGGCGAGAGCGGCAAAGGCCAGCGCCGGCGAGTCTCCGGAGGGGTCACATGGGGGGGCCTGGGATGTTCGACCAACGTAGTGAGTAGGTTACGACCATGGATATAGGCTAACTGCGGTTGCTCGGGCGGTGGTCTAAGAGAGAGAAATGTGACAAGTGGGTCAAAAGCCCACCCCGCCATAGACCTCCTTAGGAGTCCACGCATTTGGCTTCCTTGAAAGCACCCGAAAACGGGTACCCTCAAAAGACTCAGTTGAGTGGTATGAACCCTCAGTTCATGCGTGAATGAACCATTGGTCATGGCTTCATGGAAAATGGTTTAATATGTGGGTGTGACTTTGGAGAGCGCCCTTGTTGGGATTGTTCAAGCGGGACATTGAAGGGGGTTCACCACCCATCCTGAAACCGGCTCCCCATTTGGAGGCCTTCATCCATTTGCCCATGATTTTATTTTGTTGAACACCTTCCAAATTGGTCGGTGTGGTGCGCCCAAATCCCTGCCCAAATCAAGCCCGTGTCCACTTTTAGTTCAACTCAATTGTTGAGGGTCGGTCAACGTCAAGAGAAGCTTCTTGGGTTCTCGCAGTTGGCCTGCTCCAGGTAACCATCTCCCATTTTCCCATATCCACTACCTCCAAACACCAACTTTGAGGTAGTCATGATGTCAACCCCCGTCTACAACAGAAGGTCTTCACTTCAAGCCAGGCTTGCAAAGTATACCCAATAAATAGTATAGGTCCCTGTCTTCGCTCATCGCCGGACACGGACATGGAGGGCGAGGCAGAATTCGCTTATCTAGCCCATCGCTAAGTAGAAACGCTCGCTGAAGAAAGATCGCCGCTTTGCCAGGGCTTGCCAAGCTCTGCCATGCGAAGCGTTGTGAAATGACAAACTTGAATCGGATATTCTGAAGCAACACCTGGCAATGTCCTTCCCAGGAAGCAGACAAACACATCTCAACGCTAGACCTATGTTAACTAGCTTTGAAACCCGTGGCTCGGATAGGTCACCAAAGAAACCAAAGCGCGTCGTTGCAACGAGAACACTTACGTTTTTCAAGGCTATCGTTTTCGTTTGGCGCAGTTGCCAGGAAATGGTCGTGAAAACATGGGTTGGTTTTTAGTTTTTGGTTGCCCCTTCTTGTGCCCATTGGTATCCCCTTCAAGGTGGGGTCATTATTTGGATGTTCTAATTCGGAAGTCCTGGCTCACATGGGGGGGGTCTCTCTTGTTCATGGGAGGTGGTGCCAGTTGTTTGGGTCGGGTTGCAGGGAAGCCACTGGTTTTGGGGTTGGCAAACCCATATCGCACGCCATCCGAGACGCCAGGAGATGGTTTTCCAGACAGCTGCAAGAGTTAGTGCAGCTCACCAAGGACCCGCTCTCCAAAAAAAGCAAGAACACATGGGAGTCTTTCAAAAGGGTTGATCAAAAGGTCATTACATGGGATGACGATTGAGGAAAGTCACCAGATAAAGTGACTTTCCCACAACATGGAAAGTTACCCATGGTCAAGTTGAGGGCCAGGAATATTGACCAAACCCCCAAATGGATTTTGGACTCCCTTTCGGTTACCGGAAACCACCAGCAACCCCTCCCCCATATCGGAAATGGAATTTAGGATTTCAACAGAGGGGCCATCCCCAAAACCTTTGGTGCAGGTTTTTGTCTGAGCCCGTCGGGTTCCATTCAACTCAATCCTGCACACTTCCATTCAGGTTTTCATGGTTTGCACATTTGGACTTTCATGTGCTAATACTTTTGGATTCGAGTCTCCGGAAAGAACAGGCCCTCTCGCATCCAGCTGTGCTAATTAAATTACCGGCTCCCGGTGATCTGATCTCTTTGGTTGCTCCAGGCTCCGAGGCTTGGCACTGGTTTTCAGGTTCCATCTTGCGGAGCGATCATTTCGCTTGGGATGTGCCTGATCCAAGCCACTCCAACCACAGGTTGGGGAGGTTTTGAGCTTTTGGGAGCTTTGGTGTCGCGAAGTTTGTGGGGAAAAATCGCGCGCCGCGTTTCAGGAGATCAAGAGATCCCGGTGGCCAGTTGCGTTGCAGCCTCTTGCCAATGTCATCGCCGTTGGGAGTTGGTGGCGTTTCGATGCTTGATTCGGCCCTCACCATTCAGAGTGCAGTGAAAGGGACCTTGATTTTGGCGCCTTTGAAAAAGCTAGCGTTGATCATGGACAACGGTTTGAATGTGGGGTTTTCCAAGCGTTTTGCTTCAGAGCACTCTGAGAACGACGAAGGGCGCCTGGTTTGAGTAGGTGATCCGAACACATGGCCAGTTGCAGTGGGCCTTCTTGTGGCTATGAACTTGAACCTGATGACCTGATTTTGAGGCACGTCCCCCACAGACCTTTTCGAATGGATTTTGACCCTCATTTGGAATCGCAAACCCCTGGGTTTGGGGTGGCGCTGGAACCTTCGGGTTCTGGGAAGGGGCAAGTTCCAATGAGTGCAGCGAGGGCTTCCCAAACAGGACGTTTCGTCCGGGTGCTTTAAGCCGATTTGATTCCATCAAGAATCAGAGGGAGCACTTGAGGGGGATTTCCTGAAATGGGGGGCCAGCCATTGGGAAACCTTTGGGGGAAAAAAAAACCCGAAGGCAGCTTTCGAGATGTGTAAAGCCCAATCCTTTCCCCTATGTTTGCTGGCTTTCTGGAAAGTCCAAATGCTTGGACCTAGGGCCTCCGGTGCCCTTGTTTGATGGGGTGGGTTTTCCCCAGAGTCAAGAAGCGGGAAAGGCGGGCCTTTTTTGCCCCCTTGCCTTGGAAATTGTAGGCATAGGCCACAATTGTTAGGAACCTCCAAAGTCTCTGAATGTCCAAAGGGTCAAATCTATTAACATGCACGGTGTTCTCAAACTAGGATGAACCCAAAACGCCCTTAAAGAAGGGTGCCCTTGGCCCTTGGCCCTTAAAAAGACATACCCAGATTTGGCGCCCATCAACCGGGCTTCCTCCATTTTTTCTTTTGAAAGCTTCAAGAAAGTGGCAGTCTCAAGGGAAAGACACCAGTAAAATGGCAACCGAAGGGGAACCGCAACCAGCTTCCCTTGCTGCTTCCCAGCCATCGGGTTTAAAGAGCTTTCCTTTCGCCTTTTCGTTGGGTTTAGGGGATGGGTTTAGTGGACCCCCGCCGCCTCTAGAACTTTCCAGCGTTTCCCACTGTCGCTTATTTTGAGAGAGAAATTCAGGATTTTCCAAGTTTGCCATCCGGTATAAAGAGCTTCCCTTTAGCTTTTCCGTTGGGCTTAGTGGTTGGGTTTCCGAATTTTCACACAAGTCTTCCACTTTTCCACGGCTCCTTAAAAGATACATTTTGCCCATTTGAAACATGGCTTTTTCAACACCAAACAAAGGGACACCACCATTTACCAGGCAATGTAACCCAGCTTCCCTTCCTCCCTCCTAGCCATCTGTTTTCTTGGAGCCTTCCTTTCGCTTTTTCGTTGGGTTTAGTGGCATGGGTTGCCGAATATGTCACACAGGTCTTCCGCTTTTCGCGGAGAGAACGGACTTCGCCCCGCCTTCCCCTGGCGGCTGCGCTGAGGCAGCTGCTCGCCTTCGAAGGCCGACAGCTGCAGCTGGATGTGGTGGCGCTGGCCGCAGGCTCTGGGTCCCTTGCACAGGTGGCTTCTGCGCTTTGCTTCTGCGTATATTATATATATATATATATCTATATATATATATATATTGTATTTCTTTCTGGTGTTTTGCATTGAATAGTTTTCCGAGTTGGGGAGTGAGATGGTTCGAGAGTGAGTTCGTTAGCTTGCTAGCTAGTTAGTTAGTCAGTCAGTTAGCTAGTTAGTTAGGTAGGTGGGCAGGTCATTTGTTTGTTTGTGGTTTTGTTCGTATTGTTTGCGCTGGTACGATGAGCTTGGCTTAGTTCAGTTGTGTGTAGCTAGTTGGTTTGGTTCATTTGCGGTGCTTTGCTTTGCTTTTACTGTTTTCAGCTTCTTGTTTTGCCTGCTTGCTTGCTTGCTTGCTTGCTTGCTTGCTCGCTTGCTCGCTTGCTCGCTTGCTCGCTTGCTCGTTTTTGCTTTCCCCCGACTTCTTTGTTTGCAGTTTCTTTACGTTTGCATTGTTTTCGCTTTTTCAAAGTTGTTGTTCTTTTGGTGTTCGTGTACTGGTTTGGTTTGTCTTTGCCTCGAACATGCAAGCCCACCCCCAAAGAGGACAGGTGACCCACATGCCTTGCCTCGTTATACCAACCTTTGTCCAACATTCTTCCTATTCCCTTTCTCCCTTCTTTGATCGCCAGATTTAGTTTACCTTTTTCACTTTGCCTTTTTGGTCTTTCATCATTTTCCATTCAACCAGCTAAAAGTCTTTGTTCTCTAGGGGGCCGGATCTGGTCAAGTTTTCAGGGTCTTAACAGGGGTCCGAGCTCTCGGTTTTTGCTGCAACCAGTTCCTACTAGTCTTTCCTTTCCCTATCTCTGGGGGTCCGAAGATCAAATAAACCTCAATTGGGTGTGGGTCAAAATCAAACCGCCAGGGGACCGCAGGTTTTGGTCCATGTTGCCACTTACCAGGGCAACCCATTTTGGGGTTACTCTATTTTTGACCACCACAGCCAATGGGCTTCCCGGACTTCCGCGTGCCCCGCGTGCCCCGCGTGCCCCGCGCCCCCGCTTCGCTCGTTCCAGTGCTGAGCGCCTGCGAGAAGCAGCACGTCTGGGGCCCGGCGCTGCAGCTGCTCAGCTGCGCCCATGCCCGAGCCTTGCAGCTGGAGTGGGGGGGGTGCGAGGGGCGGGGGGCGGGGGGAGGTGGGAGGTTGGAGGTTTCAGGTGGTTTGGATTAGTTTCAAGTGGTGTCAGGTGGTTTGGATTTGTGGTTTCAGGTGGAGCATATTTTTTTCCAGGCCATAATTTATGGCGATCTCACCGATCCGGGGGTAGAATGAGTGTAAAGGTTCTTTGGGGATGCCTTGATAAGGGGGCCTCCGGCGGGGTTTGGACAGGCTCTCATTTCGATGCCATCCGTGTGCGTGGTGACACGGCCAAGCTGCTACCAGTGTGGAATCCAGAGTACAAAATATATTTTTGCCGAATTTGGATTCTTGGGGAGGTCAAGGACTCTTCGCAGTGACCATTTTAGCAGCATTTGTTCTTGCCAGAACTCCACGGAGTGTCAGGCCTGTTTGCCAGTTCACACTGCATGCCCTTTGCTCATATGTTCTTTCTTTTTGCTGGAACATCAGAACTTGGCAACAACCACTTTCACCTTAGTCCGCAATTTGCTTATGTGTCAGATTTTGGACATCTTGTAAACAATGCAGATTGGTGGGTTGGATTTGGATTTGAATATCTGGTTCTTGTGGGCATATGGGAAACACATTCTCCTTCACCAAACCACCAGGCTCCAAACCACAAATTAGGGGGAAGCTGAAAGTTGAAGGTGCGTTGAACCCACCACCGACTTTTTGGGCTTCGCCGATTTTGACATACCAGTAGAGGATGGTCACATTTAGTCCACACAACTCCCCTAAGACTGGGGATCCCAGTTTGTCAATGCGAAATTCCAGTCGGGATATTTACCACAGGTGCTTGGGTATTCAAGCCGCAACCATGGTAAGGGCACCCGAAGGCACCAAACCCGGTTGCCCCACTTATATCCATGGTTATAGCCTGATTGAACATTCAGAGGTTGTGAGGTGGGGAAACGGATGGATTTTCAACCAAAGGAAAGAGAGAAAGAGAGAAAGAGACAAAGAGAGAAAGAGAAAGACAGATAGGGGAAAAAGAAGTGTGCTCCAAGCTTTGGTGCAGACAACTGGGTAGCTGGCCCCCCTTTCCATTACAAGCCATGCGGTTTGAACACCCAGATGGCCCGCTGAAAGCGGTGGGCTTTTTCGGGGTTGAAAACATCCCCCTTTTCGAGTTTTGCAAATTCAAGTCTCGAAGATGAAAGTGAGCTCACCCGTGATGAAGATCCGTTACGCGGGATTTCCGTTTTTTTTTTTTTGTTTCTCCGATTTCCGAATGACAGCAACCTGCCATGGCCCAAGTGGTTGTGAACAATGGGACTCAAGTTGTCAAGGATTAGAACATGAGTGTTTGGACGCACCCAAATCTGTGGAAGATGCCATCATCCTCAAAATTGCTTTCCACGTGTTCTCAAGCGGAAAACAACCGGGTCTCCAAAATAAGGCTTCGAGCAGCCTTTGCGAATGCAACCGCTTTCAGGGAATAGTTTTGGCTTTGATCAATTTGCGAAGGCCTTCTCATTTTTAGGATCGCCTTTCTTTTTTTTTCGGATTCCGCGGTATGTGGATAGTTGGTAGGTGGTTTACGTCTGCTTTCATTGGCTAAAACATCTATCCCAACTGCTGCCTGCCGGGGACTGACAACGATCCCCGCCTTTACTGGTTTCCTAATAAAAATACAGCATATTTCGGGGTAGACTAACTATAGAACAGAGTCAGGAAGTATTGCTTTTTAGATTCTTTTTTTTGATGTGGGCCGAGTTGAGATGGTTTTCCAAACTTGACTCCTTACCTTAGCCAGGCAGGTGTCTGGCCGTTCGCCGGTCAGGACGTGGTGGCGTGCAGCGCGGGCATCAGCGCGGCAGAGAAGTGCGGGCAATGGCCGCAGGCCTGACACATCTCCCGGTGTGACTTAAAATCGGAGACCCCCCAACTTATGTCTGAAAAGTGATCTTGGAGTAACTACAACTAGTGGTTTTCTAGAATTACGAGTATCTAGACTAAAGTTCTAAAGGGAAAAAAGAGTCAACATAGTTGGTTTCCCCCTTGGATTCCTTTGTGACCACCGCGAAAAAATGATGCCTTCAAGAATAAGACGCACCCATGTCAAGTTTTGAGCTTTTCTTGGGGCGCATTTTTCGACAGCAAAGCACGAAGGTGCTCAGTTGGAAAATCAGCTTTTTAAGATATGGGATTGGTCCAGGAGCATTTATTCAGTTTTGTTTCACCGTGATGCTGGTTGAAGCATTATCATTGCCAATCCACTCTTTTGTGTGTGTGTGTGTGTGTGTGTGTGTGTGTGTGTGTGAAGCGTCCTGGAGCACGGACGGAAATTCCACATTGCAGGGGGACTGGAGCCGATTTGCCTATCCAGTCCAATGAAGCTACGGCATTTCGGTGGATACCGGATCTGATCAATCCGGCGTACCTGCCTATTTCCTGACCCTCTTTCCTGATTCCTTTTGCGGTTTCTGTTTGTCGCTGTTGCTTCCTGTTCGGTGTCGATGTTGTGACCTGTTGATTTGCATTTGCATTCAAGCATTTTTACTGACTGCGTTTTGCATCTCGGCTAGTGAAGCCTCTCGAGATAAGTGTGTTTACCCACGGCCTGTCCGACATGGCGCTGTGGGCTGGACTCGCCATATGCGGGAGCCCCCTGCGAGGGGAAGACCGTTCAAGTGTTCAAGTTCAAGCTGCAGTTCAGTTCAGCGCGTTTGACCACGATCAAGGCTGCAGCTTGAGGTCTTAAGGTATTCCGCACCCTACTGGTGCTCTGCTGGTTTCATGCGCCTGCACTGCCTGCACTGCCTGCCTTTGAAGCAAGGCTGCACCCACGAGGTTTCAGGCTCCTAAGCTTCATGCGCCAGTGACGAGTTGGTCATACACCAACTCTGCAATTCGTAGCGTTCATGGAAGCTTTCGTCTCGGATGAGTTCAGTTCAGATTCATCATCGGCCACATGAGCCACATGAGGCACTTTCATGAGGCCACTTGACAGGCACCTCTGAGAACCCCTGTGTGCTCGCATGCATTTCTGTGAAAACTTTTGCCGTTGCCGCGGGGTTTTGGCGGTCCCCTGGTGGAATTCCCTCTGTTTGGTTTCGATTCGCAGGTTGAAGTTGGCTCGCATGCATTTGCACCTTTGACGCTTTTCTGCTGCAGGTGTGGTTTTGTTTTCACCCCTTTCCAACCTTCTCTCTCCCTTGCGAGATGGCTGGACACCAGCTCTATGACATGATGCATTCGCTCCTGCACAGCATTGCGACCGGCACCGCGTCCGGCTCACCAGGCAATTGTGGACCGAACTTGCAGCTGTCATCCCAGATGACGCAGCCCATGAACCTTGTACCGTCACCCAACTCGCAGACGGCATCCTTCACACCTTTCCCCATGATGCCCTACGGCGGCCTCTCGAACTTTGGCAACCCGATGGCCATGATGCCCTACGGTGGCCCTCCCAATTACGGCAACTTGGCACCTGGCACCATCATGCCTTTCATGACTAAGAGCAGCATGCCATCTTCACTGCCCGAGCCTCAGCCGGCGCGCGCGCCCGAAGCTGCCGCTGCGGCTCCTGCCGCTACCTCCTCAACCAACCACCCTCCCCCGGACACTCGGCACCATCCCCACTCTCGCAGATCCCGTTCCCGCCACAGGCAGCACCGACACTCCCACTCCCACACCAGCCACCATCGCAGGCACAACAAGTCGCACCGACGACACGACACCCGGCGATCCCGCGGCTACAGCAGGTCACGTTCCCTTTCCCGACACTCCCACCACTCCCGACGTGCACACCACTCCACTGTCTCCCTCCGCTCCCGCTCCCCCCGACACAGGTCCCACCATCGACACTCCCCTGCACCCAGTGCCACGACTTCGCACCGACCCACTCACACTACTCATCATTCCACCTCCTGGCGCACTTCCGGGAAGGACTCCTGGCGCACTTCCGGGAAGGATCCCAACAAGTCTCAATGGTCCTCCTCACACTGGCGGAACCAATCGTGGGGATACCCACCACAGAACAAAAACCGCTGGGACATGCACCACCATGGCGCCAGCCACCCCGGCCACCGAAACAACCAGGACAAACGATCGTCCTGGTCACTGCAGCACCATGGGCAGCAACCCCACCCCACTTCCCGCACCGGCCACCACAGCACTAGCTTGCCCCCTCACCCAGCACCTGCGGCGGCCTTCACTTCCACTCCCCCTCCCCCTCCCCGACCCACGCCGGCTACTCCTCACCCTCCCCAACCCCCCTCCGACAACACCGGTGATTTGGATCCCCCTCCATCGGAGGCGGACATCAACGCCACCACCACTTCCGACAACCGGTGGCGTGATCTATGGAGAAACGTCATGGACACGGCCAAGACTGACCCGCTGCGAGTTCCCACGCCTAGGGAGTTGGGGGAGCTGGACCCGCTTCCAGCCTTGGACATCTCCAGGATGGAACAGACTAAGGCCATTTTGATGGACCTGGACCCTGCTTTGCCACCTTCACATGCCGATCTCCTCGCGGAATGCTGGGAACTGCGAACCATGGACACGGATGATCCCATACCGTTCGATCCCAGCTTCTACCACCTCTTGGGACGGGAATCACACGGCATGGTGTTCGCAACCACTTGGTTTCCCTGACCTCATCCTTGGCCAGTTGCTGGCGGAGACCCGGAAGCTGGATCCGGCACGGCCTCCCATCACGCTGTCATGTATGTGCACGGCACCACCCCGGATCGAGTGCGCCGCATGTGCCATGAGAACATGATCCGACCCGCTGCTTGGAGGCCCGAGAACCATGACTATCCGAGCTTTGGATGCTACGCTCAGGCCACCCCCACGGCATGCACGCCCGACACGCTCGGCCAGCTCTTGCAGAACTTTACAATCGGAAAGTCTCAACTCGGCGCCATCGCTTTTGGGGAACTACGCTCCATCAATCAGCACAAAATCCTCGAATCCGGGGGAAGCCACGAGGATCAACACAACGTGCGGCGCCACTTCGCATGCCGCCGAGGCAAAAAGTGGTGCCTTCACTCCAAGTTTGCGATGCTGAGAGGCATCGCGCTGCAGCGCCCGGCTTAGCGGGGCGCAAGTGTACCATCTTCCACCCAACCAGGAAAAGAATTGATGCACTGTTTGATCGCTTTTTTCTTTGCTTTGCTGTT